TAATGGGAGATTTGAGGAAATGGAAAAAAAATCCATTTAATTGCTTTTGTATCTTCTTGGAAAACCAATTTTTAAATGTTTCTTCCTCAGTAAGCTGGGGGCCTCACGCTACTGGGGTCCCTGCCTTTTCTCCTTTGGTTTTGATCTCTTTGCCTTCTCTGAACATTTGTAGTAAGCCCTTCTCTGTGTATGATTTTTAAATTTAGATCTCTTAAATGCTTAGCCAGTGGAGACTTGTAGTTAAATTCAAAGCAGTGGTACTGACTCTTCTCTTTATTTAAAGATGAGCTTTTGCTTTGCTCTATCTCAGCCTCCTACCTGACATTTCCCCTCAGTGAAGGATTTCTGACTTCAGTCATATGTGGGCCTAGTAAAGGAAAAAAATGAGATTTTTGAGGATGAGGAACTAGATAAAACAACCCTAAAATTCATATGGAACTGCAAAAGACCTCAAATAATCAAAGCAGTCTTGAGCAAAAGGAACAAAACTGGAGACATCACACTACCCGACTTCAAACTGTACTATAAAGCTATGGTAATCAAAACAGCATGTCATTGACATAAAACAGACCCATAGACTGGTGGAATAGAATAAGAGCCCAGAAGTAAATCTACACATTTACAGTCATTTTGTTTTCAACAAAGATGCTAGTAACACAATGGAGAAAGGACAGTCTCTTCAATAAGTGGTGCTGGGAAAATGATATCTACATGCATAAGAGTGAAATCAGACCCTTGTCTTTCACCATATACAAAAGCCAACTCAAGATGAATTAGACTTAAATTTAAGACCCAAACATTTCTGACCTCTAAAATTTCGGTTTAAAGTTTCTCAATGTTTGAAAACCATAGAACTAGAACCATACAATGCTTATTAATTTGTCTGACTTCTTTTGTTCAACTGTATTTTTTTGTGTGATATTTATCTATCTTGTTGTATGTAGCTTCAGTTCATTTATTTCATGGCTGTATTATTCTATTTTTATCTCTTTATAGATATTTGAGTTTTTTGTTGTTGTTACAAATATAGCACTACTATGAAACTTTTACATATGTGTTGGTACAGCATACATTAGTTACTGTTGCCTATCTGTGAGTGAAATTGCTATATTTTAGGCCAAACATTTTTATTGAATGTAGATAATGCCAGAGTGCTTTCCAGATTTGTTCTACTAAATTGCCTTTCCATAGTAGTATATGGGGGTTGTTTTGTTACACATTCCTAGTAGTGCTTGTTTTTGTTAGTCTTTTTAATTTAGCTATTGTATGAATATGTTAATACTTTCTAATGGCTTTAATTTACAATTTCTTGATCATAAAGAAGTTGAGAAGATTTTCATGCAGTTGTTGTATCCTTCCTATTTGTTAAATGCCTATTAAGTATTTTGCCCATTTCTTTCTGACTTTCTGGTTATCTGGCTTTTTAAAAATTTGTTTATTAATTTATAGAAGCTTGAGTTTAAGGGTACATCCTCTGGAGCTGGGCATGCAGTGGTTATGTGTTTTCAGTTAGAAATTAGATACCATATTGGACTTAGGACGTCTAGAGTAGTGCTCAGAAAAAAGACCACTTACCAAAGAAAAATTATTCACTGTCTATCTTAGTAGGTTTTCTGTTGCTATAACAATATACTAGAGACTGAGTACCTTATAAAGAAAATGGGCGTATTCAGCTCAGAGTTTTGGGATTCAAGAGCATGGCACCTGAAACCCCTCACCTCTGGTAAGATCTTTCTTGCTACATCACAACACGACAGAAAGCACACATGGTGGGAGAATATGTGAGAGGGACAGATCACATGGCAGGAGGCTTCATGAGCTATCCTTGGTTTTTTAGTAACAATCTACTCTCATGTGAACTAACTGAAATAGAATGAGGACTACATGAATCCCTTGGAAGGCAGCACTCCCAGTGACCTAACCACCTTCCACTAGGCCCCACCTCTTAAAGGTCCTACCACCTCTCTCATCACAGTGGGGGCCAAGCTTCCAACACAGAAGTCTCTGGGGGACATACTCAAACCATATCTAAACCATACCACTTTCTAACATGAACTTCTGAATAATAATCTTTCACAATCAACTTGTTCCCAGAACAATTTTTTTTAAAAGTGGACTTTAAAGTGAAACTTGAATTTTAAGAATAAATAATGTGCCAGGAGCAATGGTGCATGCATGCAATTCCAGAGGCTGGGGAGGCTGAGTCAGGAGGATCACAAGTTCAAAGCCAGCCTTAGCAAAAGCTAGGCGCTAAGCAACTCAGTGAGACCCTGTCTCTAAATAAAATACTAAGTAGGGCTGGGGATGTGGCTCAGTGGTTGAGTGCCCCTGAGTTCAATCCCTGATACCAAAATAATAACAACAATAGATGTATGATTTACAAAAAAGGCAATGGCAGCCTAACCAATCACAAGAATGGCTAACTGTCCAGAGCAGAGGAATTCTGACTAGTGAGGACCTTTCAAGTGGAGTGGTGGTTCATCCTGGAGCAGGGCAATGGCCTGGGACTGAGGGAGGACAGGGATGCCCTGACCTGGTCCTGGCTCACTTTGGCTCTGTCTGGGTGATTAGGCTGAAGGTTTGTACTGAAGGCCATCAGAGTGGGTTGCACAGCTTCAGCTGTTTTATTCTAGTGTGTATGTGGGTGAGACGAGTTTGTGTGTGTGTGTGTGTGTGTGTGTGTGTGTGTGTGAGAGAGAGAGAGAGAGAGAGAAAGAGAGAGAGCAAATCCAATATTTGGATTCAGTAATCATTTGTTTTCTAATAAAAGTTAAAATACTGCAAGAACTTATAAAATAGGCTTGGAGGAATACCTAGGGTTTTGCGAAGAATCTTTCAAACTCTCCTTTTCCCATTCCTGTCAATATAGTTGGTGACTTTCTTGAGTGTGTTGTTATTTTATCAAGAGGAGAAAACAGTTAAACTGACTGTGTTTTGAGAAGAAAACAATTCATAGAAGGAGTTAAAGTTAGGATTTCCTGGATTGAAAGGGCCCCATCCGTATGAATAAATAAGCATTCTCCCCAAGTATACTGTATCACAGTGAAGTTTCAGACACTAAAACTGAAGAAGAAATCTTGAAGAGCTTCAGGAAGACTTTATTTTCCTAAAGAAGACTTTGAGGTAATTCCTTAGGAACATTCTGAAATAGATGGATTTCAAAATCAACACTTTATTTAAAAGAAACAGGTATCCTATTTGGCAACCTTCCTTTTCTTCCCCAAGTTCCTGTGGATAATAGGAAAAACATTAGTCAAAGGATATACAAGAAAGGATTCCATCTTTAAGGATCCAGGCCAAACATTCACAAGATAGCAATGGTTCTGGGTGATTTGGACTATGGATGGGCCAAGCAGCCATCACAGAGGGCAGGCAACTGCACTGGGAGAAGTTGGGCAACTTTGACCCCTTCCTCTGGTTGGCCTGTGCTGAGTCAGGGGCAGCAGTGGGCTTGAGCTGAGGTGTCCTGTGCATGAGCAAAGAAATTTCCAGAAGGAACAAAAAACTTTACCCCAGATCAAGAGATATATTCTTCCCACACGGCACATCTCACCCTTGCCTACAACATCTGGAGGCCACTTTGCCAAAGGGATGTATACAAGGTGAGCATCCAAACAAGGATTGCCAAGCACTTAAGAAAACAACTCCCTGAGAGACCGACTCAGCCCCAAAAGGATCCTCACCAAGAAAGTAGCCTTCATGGAGCAAATAGGATTGGACCTTCCAAGAAATGGACAGAAATCCTGAGAAGGCGAAGAGGCATTCATGTTCATGAAATAAAAACAGGCTGCTACTTCACAACACAAAAAGACATTACATTGGAAAAGCAATGCTTAATTGATATTTTAAAAGACATAAATAAGATGAAAATCAGAATGCACAGAGCGGAAGAATGAATTGGTAAGCTGGAAGTTTGAATTATGAAATAATTCAAGATGTCGTGTCAGAAGACAGAGATAAAGAGAATGAAACGAAGGTTTAAAAGGCATGGAGACCTAGAAGCTTCAAAATACATTTACTAGGGCCTTTCAAAGGAGTTACACACACACACACACAGAGAGAGAGAGAGAGAGAGAGAGAGAGAGAGAGAGAGAGTGTCTAGAGGTCAAAGGGGGAGTGGGGAAGGGAAGAAAAAGATAAAAGAAATAACCAAAGTGTTGTTTGTTGGATTAAGATGCTCCTTGGACAAATAGGAACAAAATTCATTTTCAAAAATAAAAGTGAATTTCTGTTGTTTTCCAAAGCAAATTCTTCTTGGTTGTTAGTTATGTAATTATCTTTGGGGAATGATTCTGATTTTATATGGTATTATAATATATTAATTATAAATGTGACATTTTAATGTTAGCCAAAGTGGGGTCTTTGAAATGCTGTTCAATTCTTGGTGTTTAAGTTGGCCCTGAGAGAACTTCGAGGTCATCTATATTTGTAGTCTCCTTTTCCTCCCCTTTGAGTCCAAGACCTTGTTTACCACCCTAGAGGACAGTCTGGGTCTAGTGGTGGAGATTTCCTTTCCAAATCCAGGGCTTTCTGTGGAACGGCTGACAATTCTTTGTTGGCTAGATGGCTCTGTTTAGGCCTGTTGATGGAGTAACAGGATTGACCAGTTTCTACCCCAAGCAAAAAGAAATGCCATTTACCCTGGATAATCTTTTTAAAATGAGAAGGAAAGAAACAGATGCTGAGTTTTATTTTGTATTAAGATTGAATTTACAAGGACCTGTTTATTGGTAACTTGATAACCTTGATTAACTGTATGGGTCACTGGAGTTCTCAGAAGACATGTGAGCATATTTTGGAACAATTCGCTAGAGAATGTGAGCTCAGATTTCTTAACAAAGGGCTCCTCATGGTGAGAAATAATTACCAGCTTTACCGATTACTATTCATTTAGGGATTTTTCTCTTTAGTTTAGAGTAGTATATTTGATGGATTGAAGGGACTCCATGTTTCTTATATTTCCTGTTTTAACTCCCTAAACTTTTCTTGTGTGATTTTAGAGGCCAGAGCCCACCAGTGTCTGAATTTAACTTACTCCTGAAAGCTCACACTTTGGAAACCTATGGGGTGGATCCACATCCATGCAAGGTAACTACCCCCTACAGCAGATCACCACATAATGATTGATTTGCCCAAAATAAAGTTAGTTGGTGTTCGGGTCTGGTAGAACCCTCTTAGGAGATTTCCACAGCCTGACCCACAACTCCTAATTGGAAGGGGCACTAGTGGGTTGTGGTCACTACTGAGTCAGAATTCCAGGGGTGCAGCTGGGAAATCTCCCTCTTCATCAAGGAGTTTTGGCAGTTGATTTTCTCTAAGCCTCTAAGAGTCTTCCAGTAACTTGCTAATTGTAATGTAGGAGCCACTTTTTCTAAGTTACCATACATGGGTTTATTCATCAAGTAGATGTTTCTTTTCTGTCTTTCTTTTTTTTAAAAGATAGAGGATCCCAAGAGATTTGCTTTCAAAGCAATTACCCAGCAAGAATATAGTCATTAAAAATGGGAAAGTGGAAGGAAATAAAGAAATATTTCAAATTACACCATGACATTAGTAGTACTTCTTTTTATTTTTTCCTTTACTCATAGTATTTGGCAGTATTTCTCATAAGGGTGAAACACAGACCATCTTTAGCAGAATCACTTGTGCTCCACCCCAGATCTACTGAGTCAGAATTCTGGGGGTGCAGCTGGGAAATCTCCCTTTTCATCAAGCTCCTAGGGATGCTGTGTACATATTTTCTAAAAATGACATACACAGGCAATATACATTGCCTTTCCACATTTTAACTGTATATCAACCAGACACTAGCACTAAAACTAAACTAAATATATCAGTCAGGTTCTTAAATATAATTTGTTGGGCTATATTGGAAGTAGTGACCACAACCCACTAGTGCCCCTTCCACATAAATCCTAGAATATTTATGTGCCAAATTGGACCAACTTATTTAGCTAAGTACCAGTTTTGAGTGTTCAGCTCAGGCTGCTCATTAGAAGCACCTTGGGAGCTTCATAAACATCTGCTGCCCAGAGCACACCCTGCCTCCATTATATCAGAGTCTGCTGGGGAGGAGAACCAGGCTCCCAGATGATTCCATTTGTAGCCAAGGCAGTGTACTTGTCCACATTTGGCATTTGCATCCTACACAATTGTTTTAGGATATATTCCAGCTGCCCCTTTTAGTAATGTTTTAAATCAGTCTATTCCACTTAGTAATTTATATTTTAACCAGAAATTGAGCCTCTTTTTTTCTTATGGATTACTTGGAGACTGAGTTGATTTTGTTATTGTTAATCCTTGGTCTTAGTTGACTGAGTGTTCCTTGTCTAGGCTGTAGGCCAATTAGGCTTTTCTGGACATTTTTATATTGCAAAGATCAGAAGTCCTAGTTGGTTTGAATCAGAGAAGATACTCAGGCATTTTGTTTCATTGTATTAGAGGGCTAATGGTACCAAGAACAGTTTACTTACATTATAGAGCTGATTTAGAACTCAGGCAGCCCCAGAAGGTACTTGGAAAAAGATGTGATGTTTGGGAGTAATATGTATACTTCCAGAAGGTTCCTGGTGAGGCAGAACATCCGTTACAAAAAAGGAAAAAGCTACAGCTTCCTGGACCTTGCCCAGGTTTTGAAAGTCCTGTTCTTAGAAATTTCATCTCAGAAACTTAGTTTATTGCTACAATCATTGGACTTGACTGAAAATTAATTCAGGGTGAAAATGAGTAAGCATGCCATTTGTCATTTTCTCTGTCTTCCTCAATCCAGCAGGTTTTTATTTCTGTTTTTAGGATTCAACAGGCACAACGACGTTTTTAGGATTCACTGCTGCAGGCTTTGTGGTATTCCAGGGAAATAAGAGAATCCACTTGATAAAATGGTGAGTATTTCTTTGGAAAACTGGCCTACCACTTTTCTTCTTCTTCTTTCCCACTTCCTCCCTTTGGATTTTTATTTCCATCTCAGGTAGAATGTCTAGAATTCATTTCTTTGCCTTGGAACTTCATCATAAACGAATCCCAATCTAGATTGCCCTAAGTGGGAAACTAGATTTGTAAAACTAAATAGTCACCTTAGGGTACCTAGACTTGGGGGCTTTGCCTTCAAAGAGACATTATATTCACCAGAAACTCCTAATGATCTGACTATATGAGGGAACTCAGGCTGGATCAGAGTGAAATAAAGGTATGAACTCCTAAGTCTATTTGTATTGCTATAACAAAATATCAGAAGCTGGACAGTGCATAAAGAAAAGAGGTTTGTTTAGCTCATGATTCTGGTGACTCGAAAGTCCAGGTATCATGGTGTCAGCATCTGTGGAGGACCTCTTGGATGAGCCACAACATGGCAAAGAAGTAGAGGAGAAGGATAAGTAGGCAAGTGCAAAGAGCCTGTGTGCACGAGTGAAAGCAAGAGACTGGGGAGGTACTCTTTTATAACAACCAGCTTTCTTGGGAAATAATACACTCCTGTAAGACCTAAACTATTCTGTGAGTTCAGCATTAATCCCTTCTTTCACAAGGGTGGTGATGACATAGTTACCTCCCACTAGATTCCATCCCCGAAAGATCTCACCACCTTTTAATACAACTACATTGGGGACCAAACTTCCAGAAGATGGAACTTTAAGAGACAAGCCATACTCATACCATATCAGTTCCTTGGAGCAACTCGGGGCCCACTTTCTCCCACTCTTCCTCACACTCCTGTCCAATCCTTTGTGCGAACTCACTATTTGTCATCCAGCATTATCAGTGAAGTTGCTATTGGAAATAGTAGGCATGTCCACTCAGAATGGCATGCAGATTAGGAGGACTGAAGGAAGAAGGGTCAGATCCTCAGCTTTCTGAATTGCTTGAGCCCTGGAGTAGTTAGGTTAAAACATGGTGCATCTCAAATGTAGAGTAATTTCTTTTGATCTTGTTTTATTTCTGAGCATATTGAGGGCTGGAGATAAATAATCTCCAGATGGTTCATTTCTGACTTCTCTATCTTGTCTGCATCTTTCTGGTGTTCCTGGTTATGGTACTGATGTGGATCTCATTCTTCCTGGCTTATTCTTAGGCATATGTATTTGTACCTACTTTGTACACACATGTTACTAAAGAAAATTTTCTTATGTTAATCCTAGTTGTGTTTTTTTAAATAATCCAGTAAACTGTGTCACTCTCAAAAATCCTCCACCTAAGTTAAAACAGATTAATTCATTTAAGTGATATATTAAGTGCAAATAAGAGTTTTGAGTTTTGAGAGTGCTAATTGTGGAAGAAGAGAATAAGTGGGCACAGAGGGGGGCTGAAAGTGTCAATTGAGTAGAAGCCAATGAGAGGACAAGGAAGCTATTTAGAGAAATTGGGGTCTTAGAAAAGAGCAGACAGTGTAGGGAATGCAGTATACATTGGGTAACTGATGCTAATCTAGTACAGAGTGTTAGAAAGAAAACCAGGTGCTAAAAAGGGAAGATGCTACAAGAGGGAAGAATTTGACAGCAGTTTGGGAATAAGTCCTGAGGCTAATAGAATCATGCCACAGAGGTTCAGGTAAGTGAGAGAGAGAGTATTACCTGTTCTTTTTTTCCCCAGAAAAAGCACAAGACACATGTATCACTAACCTAGGAATTAAATCAAAGGAGTTAAATTAGAATCCTGTCTTTACACCTATCTTCTCATTGAGGAGCTGACTTGGGTCCGACATTCTAGGCAGGTGTTAATCGAAAAGCTCCTTAAGATAAAATCTAAAGTCACCCTGGCCACATGTTGTCATTCATCAAGTTGTTCTCACAATTTTGATCATTTCAATGTGTAATAAAGCAACTCTTTTATAATCAGGGAGAGTAGGAGTGAAAATTTGCAGTGTGGTCTAGGTGCTCCTTAAAGATTGATGTGGAAGGATTAGAAAGTCAGATATCTTGAATCCATATTATCTCACTAACAGATTCTGAAATAACCACATTCTTCCTACCTTGCAAAGTGAGCAGGCCAATTAATGTTGTTTTGGTCATTAATGTTCACTAATACTCTAGAGCTCCTTGGAAGGAAGATGTAGCCTCACTGTAAAAAATGGAAAAAACAATCCTGAGCTGCCCACGGGTCCTCTCTTGGAGAAAAAAATTGCTGTATAATTCACTTGGGGCTTTGCACTGCTCATTAGACCTTCACCAATGATAAGATAATATCTTGTTTTATTGCAGTCTGCTTGGCATTTATGAGTCAGCCAGATTCCTATGGGAAGGCCAGGTACTTTGGTTAGCTGCCATTTTTTTTTCCTTCTCACTCAGAGTCTTTCTTCTCTTAGGCCAGATGTCTGCAAATTGAAGTTTGAAGGGAAGACATTTTATGTAATTGGCACCCAGAAGGAGGTCAGATATTGTTTTTCTAACTTCCTGTTGCTGTATGTGTGCACATGTATGTGTATGAGAGAGCTTTGAGAATAAAACATGGCTAGAGCATTGTAGCCCCCAAAGACCGTGACTTTGAAGTGTAATGATGATGGCAGCTATAGCTGAAAACATTTTAGAGGTGAACAAATAAACATTGGGTTTGCATGTTTAAGAATAACATCAGTGAGCAATGCTGACTATGTAGCCCTGTGTGAAAAACAGATGAGGATAAAGATAGGAATAAAAGATGGACCCTCTCCCTCCCTCTTCATGCCAAGATGCAGCGGTGTGAAACACATGAAGATACTTATAGAGCTAAATATCAACAGGGCTGGGTGTTGTAAGCAGTCTGTAAGTCCCAATATTGTTAAAATAAAGGAGCTACCAAATATAGGTTGTGAGCTTGCTTGAGAATGGATTTGGGAGAAGGCCATCACCAAACATTGAACCTTAGGGCTAGTTCCGAAGTTTGCATATTTTCTTGACCCTATTTATCAATTTAAGTATTAGTTATTCAAGGATGGCAAATAAATTTTAAAATAATCCCAATCTGATAGGGAGGTAGGTGATGTCTGGAGTGTCGAGAAGGTTTGTGAAGCTGCTTTGTATCTGAATCAGGCCTTAGATAGATGATTGAGGTCCATGGTGGGTTAGGGAGGGGGAATGTCACTCCAACCACACTTTATAGAATATAGTAATGTATTTAGTTATTTCAAATATGTGTGGTAGGAGGCAGGACACAAGTAGGTAAATACCTGAAGTAAAAAACATAAACTGTGTTTAACTTGCCCTTTCTTGTTTTGTTATATTTTATTAGAAAAAAGCCATGTTGGCATTCCATACTTCAACACCAGCTGCCTGCAAACATCTTTGGAAGTGCGGGGTGGAGAACCAGGCCTTTTATAAGTAAGTAGCTTTTAGTCACTTAATCATATGTTCTAAAAGCACTCATGGAGCCCTTGATGTTTTGCAAGTGGTTGTGTATTCATTTCTTTTAATGAAGCTCTTTTTGTTATATTTAGGTGAATTATAAATTTCTTGCATTGTTCAGGGTGACTCCTAGCCATTGTTGGCCTGACTGAGTTCTGAACCCTATGTTTCCCATAGAAAACTGTGCACAGAATCTATTTCTGGTTTGCTGTTCCCCTAGAAGCACAGCCCTTGAGATAGAGTTCAGTGCAAGAAGTTTATTTGAGATGAAGCCAACAGGTGCAGCATGGAATTGAGACAGAGAAGTAAATAATATAGGGTGAATTACTGAGCATATGCCTACTGTGGGTAGCCAGGCTCAGCTCTGCTAGGGAACTATTGGAGACTATATAACAGGCCCCAATGTGCTTCTGCAAACGGGCAAATATGCAGTGCTGTTTATCTACCAATTCCCCATTCATTTTGGTTAAGGGCTTCTCTGGAGGGCAGAATTAATTCTTTCTGGAACTTCTGGCTTATTCTGAGTGTGGGATGAATGTGCCCTCACAGGATACTTTGGGAAGAGAGTCTTGTCTCAGTATATAGAAATGAGAGGCAAAGGTTGACTGGTAGAATTCCTTCATAATCTCAGAATATGGAAAGTTGGGCTGGACAGGAGGACTTCAAAAACCACCCATAAGACTCAGACTTCGAAAGGTTCACATGGAGGAGACCCACTTGCTGACTGGAATAGCAGTGGTAATGGACACAGTCAAGGACCTAATCTTCCCTGACCAGGTCATCCCACCCTGCTGCTCATCCAGGTGAATTTTGCTCAGTTTTCCCCACACTTAGATTCTGCCTTCCTCATTAGACTCATCTCACTGAAAATGCCCTTGAAGTTTTGCAAATGGTTGCATATTCATTTCTTTTAATACAGCTCTTTTTATTATATTTAAATGCTGTCTCTGAACCTCCTGGGCTGTGGCTGACAGGACCATCAGGAGAATGATGGCTTGGATAATGATTTGTAAACCTGTTTTCAGCCCTAGACTACTTTTCCTTAAGTGAAATGTAGCCAAAGCCCAGTGTGTAGAGGGATAAAAGTAGAGAAGCTGGGATTGTAGATGGGGCCAGAGTTGGATAGGAGATTGAAGATCCTTCACCTGTTGTTCATGGTTCCTTGAACTTGGATGGCCAGTTGGATGATATCTTGGAATCTCCCCACAGTTAGCACTGAGAGTCCCACGTTTCACATCCCTCACACTGGGCAAACCCTAAAAGAAGAATAATTTGAAAACCCCTAGATGAAGCCAACAATAAAAAATTAAAAAAAAAAAAAACCCCTAGATGAGACAATCCACAAAATGCTGGGCTTCTAGGAATGACAGGAAAAGGTGATGAGAATCAGTAGATCTTCCCACACCATCAATACCTCAAGGTATTCCTGTGCCCCCTGCAGTCTTTGGAGACTGGTAGAAATGGGGTTCTTTTGGCCTCTGAAAGATCAATGTGTCAGGGCTGGGCCTGTAGCTCATTGGTAAAGTGCTTGCCTCGCATATGTGAGGCATTGGGTTCAATCCTCAGCACCACATAAAAATAAATAAAGATATTGTGTGTTCATTTACAACTAAATAAATATTAAAGAAAAAGATCAATATGTCTTGAAATTTCTGCCTTTGTGAGAGTTTACAAAGGGAAATGCAGAGGGTTTGATGCTCTTAGTCTTTAATTGGAGGTTGTGTCTTTTTTGGTTTTGTTTTTAAAAAAATATCTTGAAAGTTAGAATATAATTTGCATGCCATAAAATTCACCCTTTTAAAGGATACAATTAAGTGTTTTTTAGTATAAGACACACTGTTAATCAATCATCACCATTATCTAATTCCTGAACAATTTTATCAACCCCTCCAAAACCCTTGTATCCAATAGCATTCACTCCACAGCCCTTGACAACCACTGATCTACTTTCTGTTTTCATGGATTTACCTATTCTGGACATTCTTGTAAAATGGAATTATAAACAATGTGACCTTTTGTGCTGGGCTTCTTTCACTTGGCATATGTTCAAGCTTCATTTATGTTGTAGCATTTGTTAGTACTTTATTTCTTTTTATAGCTGAGTAATATTGTACTACATGAGTATACCACATTTTATTTAACCATTCATCAGTTGATGGGCATTTGGGTTGCTCTCTCTTTTGAGCTGTTATGAAGAATGCTACAATGAATATCCACACATACATTTTTATGTGGTTTTATACCTGGAGTGGAATTGCTGGGCCAGAGGGTAATCCCATATTTACCCATTTGAGGAACTGACAGTTTTTGGAGCCTTAAGATTTTGGAACTCCTCGGTTCTTCCTTTGATGGAATGGCTGCTTCCTGTTTAAAAACATTGAGTTAGCTATTTGAGTTAATGTTTTCTTGTAAATGAAGGAGTTGATAAATGGAGTCAAGAAATAAGGCAAAGACAAGATAGATATAGCACTCTTTTATTATATTTATATATGCATTTATAGCTCTAATCTCTCTGAGTCTTCTTTTCTGAGTATTTCCTGAAGATTATAGGCATTGAAAATGTAGGGGCTGGGATGTGGCTCAAGCGGTAGCGCGCTTGCCTGGAATGCGTGCGGCCCGGGTTCGATCCTCAGCACCACATACAAAGATGTTGTGTCCACCGATAACTAAAAAATAAATATTAAAAAAAAAGAATTAACCATTTAAAAAAAAAGAAAGAAAATGTATTTACTGGGTCAAATTGATAAGGCATGGTTCCTATCTTTAGGAGATTTTAATTTCATGGTAGAGACCAAAAGGGGACTGAAAATAAAATGACAGGGGGACTTCCGAGGAGAGCATGAGTTTTGCTGCTGGGGCTTCTAAGGGGTTGAAGATCCCCTCAGGTGGAGGAAGGACATCCTGGCCCGGGTAAGGGACCAAGGCAGGAAAGTAGAAGACACATTTTAGCAAGATGAGTGGCTATACAAGACTGAGCAGAGGGTAGATGACATAGCATGTAGGGAAATGAAGAGCAAGGAGAACTTGGGCCAGATATGGAGGCTCCACCATCTTGAAAAAGGGATGTGGTGTAGGTATGATGTCACTCTTGATGATTCACAGGCATTCTGTGTGAGGAAGGAGTAGAAGCTTTCTTTCAGAGCCTTCTCAGTGAGTCTTACTGGGAGGGACTTTGGCACCATCTTGGAATCATAGTGAAATCATAGGGTCCTATCAAAGAACTCCCTATCAAAGAATAATTTAGAGACATTAATTCATTATTTTTCACACATGTTGTTTCATCATGTGTGGAAAAACCAGCTGACAGATGGAATGAAGTAAAGGCAAAGTGGTGCTGAAAAGAGAGGATAGAGGGAGGAAAAAAGTACAGTCCAGGGAATCTGTTTTGCACACTTTGGGGTAGGTGAAGTAGCGGCCAGGCAGCACAGAGGCCAGTCTGACCATTCTGTCACTAACAGGACCAACCAGACAGTCCAAGAAATCCCTTCCAGACATTTGTTGATGCTTCAGAAGACCCAGAGAGTTTACCTGTCAGCACACATGACAGACTGTGTGCCACTGACCGAGTCCTTGTGTCTTTTTTAGGCCATGCTACCCCGCCTTTCTCATTAGGACTTCTAAAACCTGAGCATTTGTGCTGATCTGAGATTTTCTATAACTTTTTGCTTTTCCTCCATAATCACATAATCTTCCTTGTTCTTAGGAAGAAGGGAAGATATTGCTTGTTCTCCAGCTGTGTGACCTTGGGCAAGGCTCTGAAGTGCTTGCTGCCTTCAGTCTTAATCTGTAGGGGACTGGAACTCAGGTGTGCATTTGCATGCTTTCCTGTGGCAAAGCATAATAAGTGTATGCTTTGAAAGTAAACAGGCTTGGGTTTGAAGCTTGATCTTGTCACTTACCAGCAGTGTGACCTGGAACAAATCCCTAAAACTGTTGAGCCTTGTCTTTACTTTTCATCTATCAAATTCAGTGGTAATAACCTGCCTTGCACTGTTTGGTGCTGCTAGGCACAAAAACCGTGGATAAATGGCAGGTGCTGATATGACCATTATTATTTCCCCTCTGAAATGATGAAAGTATCTGAGCACCAGTTGGATACACAGCCCAGTCCCCTTGACTCCACAGGGCTCTGGTTCTGTGAACCACCTCAGGGGTGGTGCCTGCTTCCAATGCAACTCCAGCCCTTGTCCAGGAAGACAGAGGTCCTGGCCGCGCCTCCAAGTCTGTGTGACTGGCACAGCTGGCAGAGCAAGGCCCTAATCTTGTTTCCTGGGTTGGGGCTGGTTTTCTCCTTCCATTTTTACTCCACTTGCCATGGGAACAGGGAGTCCTGATGGCTGCTGCCTAGGAATTCCCCAGGGTACTTTAAAGACATGAATGTGCTGCTGGTTGTCAGCTGGCTCAGGGCCACCGATCCAGTTTGAAAATTCTGGCTCTGAGATCTGCTGCCTGGGAACAGCGCCCAGAAGCAGAAACTCTGACTTTCCTGTTTACTCCAGATCCCAGGGATCCCTAGCACAGACTTAATCACCATTTAAGAGCTTCTTTTATACCATGTGTTGTCTAGGTGCCACCAGCTCCAGGGGGCTGGAGCTCAGTGTTACCGGTTACTGGTTCATTGAAAGGACATCTGATGCTTTAAAGGAGTCAGTAGCTCTCTGGTGTCTTCAGTGCTAGGCACCGAGGCCCAGTGGAAGCACAAATGATACTCCCTGTCCCCATTTAATATGGAATTACGTGCAGGGGATAAAGGCAGTCCTTAATTTCTCATTGGGAATTTGGGGTGCTAGAGGAACAATAATATAAGAAAGGATAAATTGATCCCAGAATAGCTTCCTCCATTGGTACCTCGCTCACTTTATCAAGCACCTGAATCACCAGGAGATCTTGTTAAAATGGAGAATACAGTTTCCAGGTGATGCTATAATACTATAAATGCAGGTCCACAGACTACACTTTAAGTAATAAAGTTCTAACTGGCGGTTCTCACCCATGACTACTCATTAGAACTACCAGGGGGAACTTTTAAAAGACACCAATGGCTGGATCCTTGGATCCGACCCTACTAGAATCATAGTCTAAGTTTTCACCAAAACTTGTATATCAATGTTCATAGTAACATTATTCATAATAGGTGAACAAAGTGGAAACAACCCAAATGTTCAAATGACCAAACAAAAGGAACAAACCCCCCTCCCCAGGAAATAAGAACAGGGCTTTGCTGTGCCAGATGAAACCATTAAAACACATAGTGCCAGGTGGTCAGAGCTGGAGGCAGGGTCAGGATATTTACTAAGGAAGGGGTCAGAGGAGTGGAGAAAGCAAGAACAAAATGTGGCATATCCACACAATAGAATATTATTCGGCCATAAAAGAAATGAAATACAGATACATGGTATAACATGAATGAACCTTGGAAACCTTATTCAAAGTGAAGGAAGCCATTTTACAAATATTATATGATTCTATTGGTATGAAATGCCAAGAATAGGCAGATACATGGAAACAGAAAGTAGAAGACTGGTTGCCTAGGGCTAAAGGTGGAAGATGTAAGGAGAGGAAACAAGAATGACTGCCAGTGGTCACAGAGGGGTTCATTTTGATCAAAATGTTTTAGTATTCAATGGTGATGATTAATTTTTGATCCTATTTTCAGGTGTGTGAATTATACTAAAACCCACCAAAGTGTACAATCTAAAAGGGTGAGCTTTTTGGTGTATGGATTGTACCTCAATACAGGTGTTATTTTGAACAGTGTGAATCTGCATGAGGGCTCTGGCTTTGGTGGTGATAATGGCATCCCAGGTGGTGCTAATGTGTATCTGTAGGTTGAAAACTCTGCGGTAATCTGGTGGTTTTCCAAATAGGATCCCTGGATCAGCACTATCACTTCCAGGAACTTGTTTGAAATGCAGACTTCCGGGCTCTGCCTCAGACTTATTCAATCAGAAACTTGTGCTTGGAAAAGAGTGATTCTGATGCTCATTAGAATTTCAGAGCCTGTCTGGCTCAGCCTGATTTTTAAAATACTAAAATCAGACAGATTTGAATTTGCAGCCTGGTTCCTCAGCTTTTATCATGTGACAATAGGTAACCCTTCTGTGCCTCAGTCTCCTTAATGTGGTCTGCTTCCTCCTGGGGGAGAGCTGTGAGGATAAAACAAATTAATATGTTTAAGGTGCTTTGGATGGAGCATGGCCCACAGTAAGGGCTCAATAGTAACAAATGTTATTATTACCCATGGGGAAACATTGAAAAATGGGAAATGTATTATTAATTTTAGAGGTGGCCTCTTGGAATACTACCCAGTGTCCTAGCACCCAACACTGACTTCCATCCCCAGCCCCTGGAATAGCAGGTACCAGGGGAGAAATTGGAGACCAGGGCCCAGGGAGGTCAGTCCTGCAGAGACTACCTGGGTTTCCCTGTAAGGTCAGATGCTTGAGCTTAGTTATGCTTCTGGCTTGAGATTTTGATGGGGAGTTGGGGGTGGAAGTGAGAAAGGGCAGAGAAGAAGGCAGAAAACTGGAGGAAAGTGAGCTGCTGTTCTAAGTAGGTTGCAGATTCATTCCACTGCACTGGGTGGGAAGAGGCTCTTCCCCTGGGCTTGCTGGTGATGGTAAAGCCTGATAAACAGAGGGCCTGGAACATGTAGGCTGGAGTTAGGGCTCTTTATTTTCAGTGTTTACAAGGTGGTTCCCTCTGGGGATTTGGGGGATTGGCTTTGGTAGCTTCTTACCCTGCAGAGGTTTAGAGAGTAGTATTATGGAGGAAAAGAGTGAAGGCAGGTGGGGAGGAAGGGAGGAAAACTATCACATAACGACGTGGCACCTGCTAGGCACTTTCAAATAACTGAATCTCATGTACCCCTCCTCAGAGCATTATGAAGTAGGTATTACGATACCCTCTTCCTTTAGAAATACCTGGAGAAACCGAGACTCAGGAAAGCGACCTGATGTGACCAAGGTTCTAGGCTATTGTTCTTTCAGGTGAAATTCATCTCTTGGGTTAACTGAGGGGAATCTGGGGAGGTAGAGGTTCTCAAATGCAAGTGGGCTGCCTTGGAATCACCTTGGGATATTTGATTAAAACACAAATTCCTCTCCAGACCTACTGAATCACAATCACGAACGATCAAGCTGGAAGACCTCTGTTTCTAAGACCTGCTCCAAGTGGGGCTTTTGCCCTGTCATGTTCAGGAGTTGGCATATTGGGTTTGTTTAGCTTTTCCACTCACCATTTCACCTTTCTTGTTCCCCTATTCATTCCCTTCCTTCCTGTGGTCTTTGTTTCCCAATTCACGGTGGGTTTATGTTGTTTGAGCTCTTAGATTAAACTCCCATTATATTCCATTGAAGATATCAACTGAGGCATCCCAGGAGCCTACCCAGACATTTGAGAGGGTAGATAATTGATGGTGACTCTCTCCAGCAAATTGAATGACACAAATAGTCATCCAGGAGAATCACCTGCTGGGAAGAAGCCAATGCTTTTTCCTCTCCTCTCATCCTGAGCAGATAGCCGTTAGCTTTCTCTGTGAAATGCATCTTTTAACTTGCTTTTCCTGGGTTGCTCTGAGGGTTTTCTGGAGAGGCAGTGTATAGCCACAGCCTCCCTACAAGAGGCCATCCTAGGCCTAAGAGGAAGGTTGTGGCCTCCTCACAGGGCCTGGAAAAGACAGAGCGAAGGCTGAATGGGTGTCAAGGTAGCTGCCACCTCTCCCACCAGGCCCCTATAGCTGGGAGATTGACTAGTGTGCTAACTTTAGGGGTCACTTCTGTAAAATGGGCAGTGTTGAGTTTAAATTTCCAAAACCCATTTAAGGCTCTGATTCATTTACTTTTTAGCAGACCACTTTGCCTCAAGATCCTTAGGGACATAGAATTTTAAAATTTTAAAAATAATAAAGTGGTTTCTTAAAGGCTTTCTCCTTCTGCCACCTCTGTGGGTATGGGAATAACAGCCATGCCAAAGGAAATGGGGACAGCAACTGTCCTTCCCTTGGACTTCAATAGAGAAGGTGGGAGTGGAGATGGAGATGGTGCAGATGGACTTGGAGCAGGTATGTCCTCACAGAAGCCAGAGGACCCAGCCTGGACCATCTAAGTGTGTTTTACTGGGCCTTTTTATCCTCTCAGTTGGGTGTGGTCTCGTGTCCTATCAGGACCTGCCAAAGTATGGATCTCAGGATAGAGGGGGAGAGAGGAAAGGGCAAGGATTTTGTTGTTGTTGTTTGTTTTTGCAAAAGATTATTACCATGGCTTTTCTATTGTTCTTTGAATAATGTCCCAATTCCTTAACAAGGATGACTTAAGGTCTGGTCCTGCAAAATTGGACTCTCTCCCTCTTTTTCCATTCATTCGTCTTGTACATTCACTTTTCTTTCTTCATTAGAAAATTGTGGGGGGGGGAGAAAGAGAGAGGGGTGGGGAGGGAGGAGAGAAGAGAGAGAGAGGAGAAAGAAAGAAAGTGTGTAGTAATAACTTGGGGAAATACACTAGGTTTTTTTAGTTCTGCAAATGCTTAGGCTGAGGGCTTTTGAGCTTTCTGCCCTTCTGCCAGGCACCCACAACCAACCACCACAGTCCCCAGTTAATACCTTCTAGCCCCTGAATCTCTGCTCTAGTGTCCTTTCCTTTGGACACCTTCTCTGGTACCCCAGAGCAGATCAGTCCTTCTCCTGCATGTTGTCATTGTAACTTTTCCTTCATAGCAAGCCATACAGCTTGTCATTTACATTTATTTACATGGCTACTAGATTTATATTCATTTCTCCTCTAGATCTTGCACCCCATGAATGCAGAGAGCATGTGTCTTCCCTGGGCTTAGCTTGGTACACAGATCAAGCAGGGTCAGTACTCACGAGCCAATGAGTGAAGCTTCAGGAGGCTCACAAGTGGTGACTACTGCCTGCCTAGAAACTTCTAGCCATAGCCCTGGCTTTGTGTGTGTGTTTACTCAGAATCCTATAGAACATATTTGTTTTGTGTGTGTTTTAGAGATTTTTTTGTGACTATTGATATTTTAAATCATCTCAAACTCTGGGAGACCTTTTGGACTTAATTACATAAGGCTTAAAGGACCTCTGCAGAGGTATCCCCAGCTGTCAGGGTAATTTAGGGCCCTATGTTCAGCCTCAGGGCAGTCCATGTTCTTGGCTGTTTTTGAGTGTTGTTCTGTTCTTTTTTATGAGTGTGGCTCAGAGGTGCTGAGTCAGTGCTTGTCTGGGCTTCTTGTCCCTTGTGTATCTTAGTCATCTGCTGGAGTGGATTCTTTGAAAGGGCACTGGGTCATGGTGAAACAGAAGCCAGTGACCATGCTTGTGGTGACATGGCCCCTTGTTCTTGCTTGGGCAGTGTGCAGAGAGTTCTTTGTAGCACAGAATGGTCTTTGTTGCCAGAAAGCTGTTTTCTGTTGCAGTATTGACACAGAATCCCTATTGATCATCAATATTGCCTAGTTCGTTTTGTAGTCCATTAGCTACTAAGGGATTGTAAAATCAAACATATGGGCCATGACCAGACTTCAGAAAGAATGAAGGGAAATGACATTGGAGGATACCAGTGATGGCATCAGATTTAATACAAGAAAAAGTATTTTTTTTTTTTTGTAAAACTTTTCTTTCAGTTTCTATTTGTGCATGCTGAGTCACAATATAAAATGTGTTTCTTGCTGTCAAAATATCTGATTACCACAGTTCTACAGTAATGTCCTACTTGGATTTTTCAATGTCATTACCCATTCTGCCTTGCTTTTTCTTAAAGGTATGCGAAATCCAGTCAGATCAAGACAGTGTCAAGCAGCAAGATATTTTTTAAAGGAAGTAGATTTCGATATAGGTGGGTACCATTGATCCCATTGCAGTTGGTGGGGTTGGAGTGGGGATGGCTATTTACATTTGCATGTTTTGCTCAAAAATAAATCCACTTAGGTTTATGTGCTTCCATTCATTTCCACTTCATTGAGCTCTTATGCTCTCAAAAGACCCTTGACCTCCATACTAAGTTCCCTTTGTGGAATAAGAGAAAGAGTTAATACTTTGAGCTGTCTCAGACCACTGTGAAATTTTAAAAAAAAATGTGTTCTCTCTTCCTCTGAGCATCTGCACATACCTGTATTTTTGTCTTTCACAGTGGTAAAGTTGCCAAAGAGGTGGTAGAGGCGAGCTCCAAAATCCAGAGGGAGCCTCCAGAGGTACACAGGTGAGTGGGTTGGTCCCTTCTGGTTCAGATGGTTTCAAAGATGGACAGAGGGATTGAAAAGCTGGTTTTTCCATGAACTGCAGAGGTATCTCAGTGGTAGAGCACCTGCCAAACACTGAAAGGAAAAAAAAAAGGAAAAGCAAATCTGATTCTTTCAAATTCTTGATAATACCCCTGTGTGTAATTTAAGAAATTAACTTAATTAATTAAAAACTCTTTCACATCCCTAGAAATCTCCCGTAGACAGATTTGGCTGGACTGTGGCATGGGTGCACCTGGGCTCCCTTTTGAGTCACTTAGTCTGGGAAGAGATATTGATTAGATATGGAGTGTCATGTGAGCAAGCAGGATGCCTGATATCTCTTGGCCAAGCTCTGGTGTTCTGTCCTCTTAGAACTGCCTAATTTTCTGTCTCCTTCATCAGATGTGGTCAGTTCCCATTGGCTGGACTCCTTTAGACTATTTCACATGAGGGAAGAGGCTCACATGTCACTGAGCCCTTTACTCCCAAGGTACACCTACAGGAAGGAGGGTCTAGTTGTTATCAGTTTGAGGGTGCAACATCTTCATTAAGGTGACTATCTAGGATAATTTTTAGGAATTAAATATTGTTTTGACCAAACTGAACTTCACACCACCACAATTTACACAACCTATTGAATATGCTCAACCTCAAACATGCTAAATATCTTAAAGCTGAACTTTCATATCATGGTGCTTCCCCTCTTTTAAGGCAAGACCATCGTGAGCCAAATTCCTTAGTGAATTCCCCACATGCTGGTTGGCACCTGTCCTTCTTTCTCCATCTTTGGAACCCAGAGGTGTTTCCTTTATGCCCAGGTTTGCTGAGTCTCTTCCATTTCCAGGGTGGCAATGTAAGCTGGGTGCCACTTCTTGTCCCTCAGGATTGTGGGCAGGAAGAGGCTGTAGTCCCACAGAAATGAGGGTAGGCCAGTCTGGCATGGGTATCTAAATGGCACTTCTCTCCTCTCCCAAAGAGGGGCGCAGAACCACAGTCTACAGGAGATCCTATGCAGATGTATACAAATTATAATTGAACCCTGCTTGCAGTGGGGAGCTGTCACATGCATCTGCAAAACCAGTCCCTTGGCTTTAAGAGGCAAGAGAAAACTGAGGGGCTGGGGAAGGTGGAACAACTTGGCTGGGGGCACCTCATTGTAATACCTGAACATCTGATGGCCCACCCATCAATGAGTTCCTCCCCTGCCCTAAACTGTGATCATTCAGCACAGTGTAGAAAAGAAGCAGCAGCAATGATAAAACACATCATTTCTTATCCAGAATCTTTGCTTTGGAAATAACTTCAGACCTCACCTAGTTTTATTGCTTCCACTCTATTGACAGAAACTCGAGACTTGGACAAGTGAAATTATTTATCCAACTCATATTTGGTATAGCAGATGCAGGTCTAGAGTTCCAGTGTCTTGCTCTATGGGTGGTTAATGAGATCAAAAAATAATTTTTTGAAATACTTCTCTTATAAATTGAGGTTTTAATAATTTAAGGAAATCAAGACTTCCTAGCTCAGGGCTTCTGAAGCCTTAACTTGCACAGGATCACCTGGGGATCCTTTTAAAATCAGATTCTGATTCAAAAGGCCAAATGATGTTCAATAGTCTGCATTACTAACAAGCTCCCAGGTGATGGCCCTTTGGCTGGTCCATGGACCACACTTTGAGTAGCTGTGCTCTCCGATGGTATTAGGGTGAAGGGAGCAGCTTGGCCCGAGTGAAAGCTTTTCTTGGAGGGCACTGAACCACCAAAAAGGTGCTGGAAATGAATACAGCCTGAGGCATCAATCAATTCCATTTCTCTTTTCTGGAAACTTTTAAAATCCCCCAAGATATTACTACAAACAAGGACTCACAGGCTTTTGAGGCCTGATTTTCATGCTCTTTCTTTGTCTTCTACCACCCCCTTTCATCTGTATGTGAAAGACTACTAAGTTCACATCCTCAGGAAGCCTCTCTTGTCCTTGGTTCTTTGTCAGCATCCCTTAAATCTCTGATAGTACTGGGAAGAATTTGCTTAATGTAATGGTTTTAAACAAAGCAAGCTCTGGTAGGCCAAAGCTCTGTCCCTCTTTGTCCTCTTCATATTCTCCATTTCTTAACCCAGTGCTTGGTGTATAGTAGAATGCAATACTTGTTTGTTGAATGAATTCATGAACTGTGAAGGTAACAGTAGCACCTCTGTTATTTTCTTTTGTGGATGAACTGTGTTCTCAGCCCCATTATTTTTTTAGATCTGAAGTCTGTCCAAGATGCTGCACTGTCAAACTTCACCTCCCCAGAGGCAGCATTGTGGTTGGAGCAGTAATGATATGTGATACTTTCCTGCTGGCAAATCCTCTTTCCCAGCAAGTAGCCAGCTGCATGGTAGAAAATTGTTTGTCTTAGACAATTATTTTATTTTCAAATTATTTCAGCTTCTTTGTTATGGCTGTCAAATAATGAGCTCTCCTCTGATGGTGGGCATCCAGAGATGACTGTTAGTATAGAATGGTGATGATAAGGCTTTAATTAAGCATCTTTCCTCACACCTGAGATTCTACTCATCAAACAATGACAGGTTCATGGACTCCTACTTCTGAGGTGTGTGTACAGAAAGACAGAAACAGACTGAGAATAATGTCTTGGAATTTTTCTTGTTTCTTCAAAAAAAAGGAGCGAAGTTAACTCTGATGTTAGGTCATTGATCATTTATTGATGAGAAGATCCACAAGCAAAACTCTCCTGGGTTGGTTACTGGGTAGAATCACTCTCCCGATCTGACACAGGCCAAAGCTCACTGAGCACAGGGCTGACTGTGCCAGTCACCTGGACATGACAGCCACCACCAGGCTTCTCACAGGCAGCATTTATATCTGAATCAAGCACATTAGTCTTGGCTGTATTGCTTCCCAGCTTACAGCCTTGGGTAAGTCACTCAGCTTCCCAAATCATCAGTTTGCCCAGGTATAAAATGAGATTTATATATTGCTTTTCCTAGATTTTGTTGGGAGGATTAAAAATCAAGTATTTTGAAGTTATAAAATGCCACACAATTGTATGTTTTGATAGTGTTATCATCTCTTATCCAAAAATGGGAAGGTAGGATCTGAAAGATACATTTGCATTAGTATTCCTGTGGATGAAGTTTTTGGAGGCTTGCTAGCAAGGCCAGCATTCCAAGAAGTGGTGAAAGAACTTCTGCAGCTTCATTCTACCTCTCTATTTTATGCCACCATTTTTGGGTCCATGTAAGTATTATATAACCCTGGTTTCCTTATCTGTAAACATGGTATTTTTCATGCCTATCTTAAAAGCATATTTGAGAAAAACCAGGAAATAGTTTAATACAAACCATGTTTTCCAGCATTAGAATCAACTTTTGCAGTTCCCAAAGGAAACCTTTCAACTTTAATAGCGTTCTTTGTGGCAGTCTTCTAGGAGACTTTTTTACACTTGAGTGGGCTACAAAGTGGGTCAGGCCTTTTTCATAGTCAGCTGACAGACGGGTGGATTCTGAGAATGGAGTTCCCTGACCTGTGTCTTGGCCTGGCCTGGGGAGACCCAGTCATAGAACAAGTTTACCTCATGACAAGGCTTGGTGTTTTAGTCAGCTTTCCACCACTATGACCAAGTGACCCGGCAAGAACAGCTTAGAGGAGGAAAAGTTCACTTTGGCTCATGGTTTCTTAGGTTCTGACCCTGGTCTAATGACTCCACAGCTCTGGGCCGGAGGTGAGGCGAAGGGTGCCATGGAGGAAAGCAGGAAGAGGGACAGCTCTGTTCACCAGGGACAAAATATAAACCCCAAAGGCATGCTCCCAGTGACCCACTTCCTCCAGTCCACTCCATCTGCCTACAGTTACCACCCAGTCAATCCATTCAAGTAGATTAATCCACTGATCAGGTTACAGCTCTCATAATCTCATCATCTCACCTCTGAACATTCTTTCATTGTCCCACACATGAGATTTTGGGGGATATCTCTTCTCTAAATGTAACACTGGGTGTGTCTCCAAGGATTCATGTTATAGAGCCATGGTTCTGGTGCACTGGTGTTGAGAGGTGGGACTTTAAGCAGTGGGGCCTTGTTTGGATCATGGAGGCCCTGTGTCTTTAGTTAAGTTATATAACCTCATCGTCATCTGTAAATATGGTATTTACCTTACCTATTTTACAAGTATACAGAGAAAAAAAATGATGAGATCAAGTGTATACAAATCACTTTCTTAGCTTAAAAAAAGGGCCATTCAGATTCTGGTATTATATTATCATAGAACAACTGTGCTCTTGAGCTCTCACAATAAAAGAAGCCTTGGCACCTTTAAAAGTCTGCAAAGAAGATTAGAGTTATGCTGCCACAAGCCAAGGAATATCTAAGGCTCCCAGAAGTTGGAAGAGGCAAGGAATGATCCTCTCTTGTAGGCTTTAGAGGGAATAGGGTCCTGGAAATTCTTGGATTTTCTATTTCCAAACTCCAGAATTTTGAGCAAATAAACCTAATGTTTTAAGACACACACACACACACACACACACACACACACACAAATCTGCAAAGGGAAAATGAGGCGGAAAAAAAGGAAATTTTAGACTAAAGGAGGTGGGTAGGTATACTAGTGCATTTGAGCTGTTATAACAAAATATAATAGGCTGGGTGGTTTATAAAGAAGAAAAAATATTTCTCTATTTTTTATAATTTATTTCTCTCTATATTTCTCTATAACAAAATACCATCGGCTGGGAAGCCCATGATCAAGGCACTGGCAGATTTGATGTCTGGTGAGGGTCTGTTTTCTCACAGATGGTATCTTCTTGCTGTGTCCTTGCATGGTAGAAGGCAAAAATAAGCATCCTCAGACTTCTTTTAAGGCCTACCTCTTGGTACCATCACATTGGAGGTTATTTCAACAAATGAATTTTAAGGGGACATAAGCATTCAGACCATAGCAGTGGGGAAAGGTAGGAAACTTGGATTTGTTTCCTCATTTTGCTTGCTTTGTCCCCCAACCTATCATAATATCATGGTTTGAAGCCCTGGATTATTTGTGCTCCAGGGAAATCCCTAGTCATAGCCACCTTTGTGTCTGTCTGAGTCTAAATAATGTTCCTCTCTGTATTCTGTTACTGGAGAGTCTCAGGGTTGTAATTCCCTACAGGTACCATCTGGTCAACCCTGGGCAGATCTCTAAGCCCCTGTAGTAGCTATGGGCCTTACTATAGTGGAGCGCCTGGGGACTGTGAGTGTAGGGGCTGAGCCAGCATCTTCCTGACCATCAGTGTTAAGGATGACCCACGTCTCGAAGGTAAATCTGTCCCCAAACCAGCCATTTGCTGGACATTGCAATATTGGTTGAGGCAGGAGAATGCTTGCAATCTTCAGCCAGAGAATGTTGGGAGGAGGACTGATGGGCAATCAAAGACTCTTCACAAAGACTTGCTAAGGACCCATCATTGTAGCATAAACAGTGATTTTTCGGAGATAAGAAGAGTTGCCAGCTTAAGTGGTTGGCATGGTCAGTCATGGGGCAAAAAAAATCAGGGTTGTTTTGTGCAAGAAATTAATCTATGGGTGTTAGGGTTTAGATGTGAGGTGTCCCCCAAAAGCTCATTTGTGAAACAATGCAAGAAAGTTTAGAGATGAAATGATTGGGTTGTAAGAGGTTTAACATAATTAATGAATTAATCCCCAATAGGGATTAATTGAATGGAAACAGAAAGCAGGTTGGATGTGGTTAAAGGAGATATGTCTCTGAGGATTTTTCCTTTAGGGGATTTATTTTGTCCATGGGGGGGGGGGGTGTTTTCTTTCTCTCTCTGCTTCCTGAGGCTATGTTTCCAGCTACTTTCCTCCTCTATACCCTTCCCCATGATGTTCTGCCTCATCTCAGGAAGTATGGAGTTGGCCATCTATGAACTGAGATCTCTGAAACCATGAGCCCCAGAATAAGTTTTCCTTTTTAAAATTATTCTTGTCAGGTCTTTTTGTCATAGTAGCCAAAAAGCTGATTAAAACAATGGACATCTCAGAAGTCAGAAAGCTAGAAAATCTATGCAAAGCATAGCAATGTGTTGCACTAGGATAGACAGAATCACAGTCATTAATGACCACAGGGACAGAAGAAATCCCATGAAAACTCAAGGCCAGCACTTCAAACAAAATAAAATAGATTTAAAAAAAAAAAAAAAGCAAATCACACATAGCTGTGGGTAAACACTCATCAAACACTTATTTTCATTGTGGGCCTTCCTGCATTTCATAATGCAGTTCTCAGAGAAAAAAGTTTGAAAATCCTGGTTCTGGACAGTGAGTTGCTTAAGGCAGCAGGGGAGCTATACCCCTGCCAGGCCAAGGCAGACCTTCATACATGTTAGCTATATTGTAAGTGGCTGAGGAATGAGGTAAGGAAGCAAAGGACTCCGTGATTAAGCAAGTTCCTAGAAATTTCTTCTAGTTAGTTCCATCTGTTAATTCAAGATGCTAAAAGACATCCTGTTCCTCCCCTTTTCATCCCAGGTCTAACAGAAGAGCTCAGGCTAGAAGGCAGTCCCTCCACCAGGCCTGGGAGCACCTATGCCAGTGTGAAATGACAATATGCCAAACCAGGATTACACTTAGTTTACTTTGGCTTTAAACCTGAGCATCCTTAACACAATGCCAAACAAGACACCTTAGGGCAGACAGAGATGGCCAGGTCAGCACTCTCTGCCCTTATGGTGCTTATGGAGGCAGAGCATGCTCAGTACACCAATAACTGCACAGAGACAGAGGTGACATGCAGATAGCTGTGAAAGAACAGAGAGCAGCATGGGAAAGTGATAGAGGGAGGGAGGGAGAGAGTGAGTCTTTGTCTCTGTTGTCAGGAGCCATCCAGGAAGGCTTCAAAGGGCAGGAGACATTTGACAACATCTTAGAAGGAATTGTTGGTTTTGGTTTTGACAGGAAACAGGGGAGGAGAAGGGTGCCAGTCATCCACCTGCAGGTCCCCACCTCCTTGTCTGGCAGGACAGACAGCTGGTCTCCTTGCAGCAGGCAGTGCAAACAGGCTCCCCAGCTGTCAGGCAATAGTTTTGATGGACACCTAAACAGTTTCCTTGCCATCTGCTGTTGCCATAGCTACTGGTGTGAATGTTCCTTCCCAAAGGAGGAACAGACCTGTATTTCATAGCTGGCTGGTGAGAAGGGTGAATGGGAATATTAATCACTGGACATCCAGCTACAGAAAGATAACTTGGAGCTGTAGCACATCTGTGCCATCCATCTGGCAGGGTCTTTTGGTGCTTGTTCTATTCCTCTGAGCCACACCCTTCATTCACCTTTCTGCATATCTAGTTCAGTGATAGCTGACACCTATGTTTCCTGTATCTTCTTAAAATGTTCACATCTTCATCTGACATGCCCAGGTCTGATGGCATCTGGGGAACTACATTTTCTTTTACTGGGTCGCATTGGAACACAGATGTTTGTCAGGATCTTAAGGGCAAGAAGGGTGGTGGGTCTTGAGTTTTATGTCACCCTTATTTCTAGCTTAATCTGCTGTGTGTGTCTAGAGGCACTTCTTAGCTTGGGTAGCCCCTGAGAGAGAGGGGCCAGCACTCACAAAGGACATCAACTTTATTTGGCTTTTGTCTGTTCTCAGAGTCAGCATTACTCAGAGTCGCAGTTCCCACTCCTTGAACAAACAGCTCATCATTAACATGGAGCCCCTGCAGCCCCTTCTTCCTTCTCCCATTGAGCAAGAAGAGGAACTTCCCCTGGGTGAAGGTAAGTCAGCCACTTCATTCTAGAAATCTGCTTTGGAAGAATAAATAAGCACCAATTTTATGTATGCTGGGAAATGGGTTGAGTAAGGGGCATCAGTGAGCCATACACTATGTTTTAGTAAATACATTCTTTTTCAGTCAGAAGTCTGTGTGATATTGGGAGTTCGATCCATTTTTCTTGGAAGTTTTACTGGTACAAATATTTCTAAGATTGCATGGGAAAGCAGTAATGGTGTTGGACCTAAACTGTACAATGTGGTACCCACTAGCCATGGAGGCTATTTAAAATCAAGTTTAAATCCATTAAAGTTAAAATTCCAATTCCTCAATTACACAGCCAGATTTCGAGTTCCTAGTGGCCACATGTGGTTGACGGCTGCCATACTGGAATCTGAAACTGAAAACATTTCCATTATTGCAGAAAGTCCTCTTGAAAGGGGATGTTTTCTACTCCATCACAGTTAAGTTGGTGGTTATAAAGAATTCTCCACAAATATCTCTGTGCTGCTCATCCTCTTTTTGCCTCAGTATTTTCCTAGTCTCTTTTCCACAAGCACCTTGTCTAATAGTTTTGATACAGACTAAATACATGGTGCCTACTTTAACCCCCAAACCATTATATTTTTTAAGATGATAATATGTGTGCTGGCTCATTCTCTTCCCTTTCCTCCTGTCCCTTCTATTGCCCCTCTTTTTCTTCCTTCTCCTTCATGAGAGAAAGGGAAAAATCTCACCATACATGGTAAGGCAAATCTCAGACACATGGTAAGGCAAATCTCAGACTCTTACTAACTTCAAAGTAAACCAAAAACAAATGCACACAAAGTAAGATTTTCTGAATACAAATATAGTACGCTTTTCCTTAGCTTTAATGCAATATTTTTTTTGTTTTATCATTAAAAATGTAGATACTTGGAAATGTAAGAGGGCAGGACTCCTTGTCCCTGAAAGATCACCTTTACCCCAGTCTCAAATCAAGAATTCCTTCCACAAAAGCTTTTTGAGTTCTTAGTAAGAGTTTATCTTGGAAAACAAATACACTTGAGAGAGGCAGAAGTAACCAATTCAACTCACACTGAAATGTGAAGAATTTTACTAAATATTTTCCTGAGAGAATGCTTTGATGGTTAGAAAGGGGAACTGAGGAACTAGATACCAAAAATACCATGGTAGAGAGAAAGCATGAAACATATGGAGAATGGGATCTCAGAAGATGCCTTCTGTATCCAGCTGGGCCACAAAGATATGGTGATTATGAGAACAGGTTGGCTATAATGGCCTTTTTAATCTGTCCTTCCAACTAATGCTGTAAGTTCCACAGTAAAATAATTTTCTTAACCATGAGTCTCTGGATCCATGTTTCTTTTCTCTCTCTCTTTCTCTTTGTGTATGTGTGTTTTGCAAATGAAAGAAAATGTTTTGTGTTTTTCACTTCTGGTTACTAATGATTTTATGGGCTTCATCCCATATTCCTGAAATATTGCTTTAAGAGAAAAATCACTTTTTTCTTACAGTTTATGATTATTTCAAGGTAGAATGAGAGAGGACATGATGACTAATGCAGTAAATAATGGGAGAAAGAATAGCATATGCATGAAATTGTGACTCCATGTTATCTGCAAAAATGGAGAATAGCCAGGTGTGGTGGCACACACCTCTAATCCCAGAAGTGGGGAGGCTGAGGCAGGAGGATTGTGAGTTCAAAGCCAGCCTTAGCAATTTAGTGAGGCCCTGAGCAACTCAGTGAGACCCTGTCTCTAAATAAAATCTAAAAATGGGCTGGGGATGTGGCTCAGTGGTTGAGCACCCCTGAGTTGAATCCCCAGTAACAAAGAGAGAGAGAGAGAGAGAGAGAGAGAGAGAGAGAGAGTAAATAGAAATAAAAGTTGTTACACCAAAGAGGTTGAATGGTTGGCAAGGGGAATACAAAACTCTAGGCCATTTCTGAAGTTCCCCTAGGACGTGAAGAGGAGGCTGGGTAAGCTTTACTCTGAACCTGTCACCCCATTCCATTAGAAGCTTCCATTTGGCTCCATTTTCTTTTTTTTTTCTTTTTTATTGTTGGTTGTTCAAAACATTACAAATTTCTTGACATATCATATTCCACACTTTGATTCAAGTGGGTTATGAACTCCCACCTTCACCCCATACACAGATTGCAGAATCACATCAGTTACACATCCATTGATTTACATATTGCCATACTAGTGTCTGTTGTGCTCCGCTGCCTTTCCCATCCTCCCCCCTCCCCCCTCCCCACCTCTCCCCTCCCCTCCCCTCCTCTCTCTCTACCCCCTCCACTGTATAACCCTGAGGGTCTCCTTCCATTTCCAAGCAATTTCCCTTCTCTCTCCCTTTCCCTCCCACCTCTCATCCCTGTTAAATGTTAATCTTCTTCTCCTGCTCTTCGTCCCTACTCTGATCTTAGTTACTCTCCTTATATCAAAGAAGACATTTGGCATTTGTTTTTTAGGGATTGGCTAGCTTCACTTAGCATAATCTGCTCTAATGCCATCCATTTCCCTGCAAATTCTATGATTTTGTCATTTTTTAATGCAGAGTAATACTCCATTGTGTATAAATGCCACATTTTTTTTATCCATTCGTCTATTGAAGGGCATCTAGGTTGGTTCCACAGTCTTGCTATTGTGAATTGTGCTGCTATGAACATCGATGTAGCAGTGTCCCTGTAGCATGCTCTTTTTAGGTCTTTAGGGAATAGACCAAGAAGGGGAATAGCTGGGTCAAATGGTGGCTCCATTCCCAGCTTTCCAAGAAATCTCCATACTGCTTTCCAAATTGGCTGCACCAATTTGCAGTCCCACCAGCAATGTACAAGTGTACCCTTTTCCCCACATCCTCGCCAGCACTTGTTGTTTGACTTCATAATAGCTGCCAATCTTACTGGAGTGAGATGGTATCTTAGGGTGGTTTTGATTTGCATTTCTCTGACAGCTAGAGATGGTGAGCATTTTTTCATGTACTTGTTGATTGACCGTATGTCCTCCTCTGAGAAGTGTCTGTTCAGGTCCTTGGCCCATTTGTTGATTGGGTTGTTTGTTCTCTTATTGTCTAATTTTTTGAGTTCTTTGTATACTCTGGATATTAGGGCTCTATCTGAAGTGTGAGGAGTAAAGATTTGTTCCCAGGGTGTAGGCTCCCTATTTACCTCTCTTATTGTTTCTTTTGCTGAGAAAAAACTTTTTAGTTTGAGTAAGTCCCATTTGTTGATTCTAGTTATTAACTTTTGTGCTATGGGTGTCCTATTGAGGAATTTGGAGCCCGACCCCACCGAATGTAGATCGTAGCCAACTTTTTCTTCTATCAGACGGCGTGTCTCTGATTTGATATCAAGCTCCTTGATCCATTTTGAATTCACTTTTGTGCATGGCGAGAGAAAGGGATTCAGTTTCATTTTGTTGCATATGGATTTCCAGTTTTCCCAGCACCATTTGTTGAAGATGCTATCCTTCCTCCATTGCATGCTTTTAGCCCCTTTATCAAATATAAGATAGTTGTGGTTTTGTGGATTGGTTTCTGTGTCCTCTATTCTGTACCATTGGTCCACCCGCCTGTTTTGGTACCAGTACCATGCTGTTTTTGTTACTATTGCTCTGTAGTATAGTTTGAAGTCTGGTATCGCTATACTGCCTGATTCACACTTCCTGCTTAGCATTGTTTTTGCTATTCTGGGTCTTTTGTTTTTCCATATGAATTTCATGATTGCTTTCTCTATTTCTACAAGAAATGCCGTTGGGATTTTGATTGGCATTGCATTAAACCTATAGAGAACTTTTGGTAATATCGCCATTTTGATGATGTTAGTTCTGCCTATCCATGAACAGGGTATATTTTTCCATCTTCTAAGATCTTCTTCTATTTCTCTCTTTAGGGTTCTGTAGTTTTCATTGTATAAGTCTTTCACCTCTTTTGTTAGGTTGATTCCCAAGTATTTTATTTTTTTTTGAAGATATTGTGAATGGAGTGGTTGTCCTCATTTCCATTTCAGAGGATTTGTCGCTGATATACAGGAATGCCTTTGATTTATGCGTGTTGATTTTATATGCTGCCACTTTGCTGAATTCATTTATTAGCTCTAATAGTTTCTTTGTAGAGCCTTTTGGGTCTGCTAGGTATAGAATCATATCATCTGCAAATAGTGATAATTTAAGTTCTTCTTTTCCTATTTTTATGCCTTTAATTTCTTTCGTCTGTCTAATTCCTCTGGCCAGTGTTTCGAGAACTATGTTGAAGAGAAGTGGAGAGAGAGGGCATCCCTGTCTTGTTCCAGATTTTAGAGGGAATGCCTTCAGTTTTTCTCCATTCAGAATGATGCTAGCCTGAGGCTTAGCATAGATTGCTTTTACAATATTGAGGTATGTTCCTGTTATCCCTAGTTTTTCTGAGTTTTGAACATAAAGGGATGCTGTACTTTGTCGAATGCTTTTTCCGCATCTATCGAGATGATCATATGGTTCTTATTTTTAAGTCTATTGATGTGGTGAATAACATTTATTGATTTCCGTATATTGAACCAGCCTTGCATCCCAGGGATGAATCCTACTTGATCATGGTGCACAATTTTTTTGATATGTTTTTGTATCCGAGTGGCCAGAATTTTATTGAGGATTTTTGCATCTAGGTTCATTAGAGATATTGGTCTGTAGTTTTCTTTCTTTGAAGTGTCTTTGTCTGGTTTAGGTATCAGGGTGATGTTGGCCTCATAGAATGAATTTGGAAGTTCTCCCTCTTTTTCTATTTCCTGAAGTAGCTTGAAAAGTATTGGTATTAGTTCTTCTTTAAAGGTTTTGTAAAATTCTGCTGTATACCCATCTGGTCCTGGGCTTTTCTTAGTTGGTAGTCTTTTTATGGTTTCTTCTATTTACTCAATTGATATTGGTCTGTTTAGGTTGTCTATATCCTCGTGACTCAATCTGGGCAGATCATATGACTTCAGAAATTTATCTATGCCTTCACTATCTTCTAATTTATTGGAGTATA